GAGAGGGTGCAGGCCGGGCTGAGGGACACCTTCTGCGCCTCCCGACCCCCATGCACGAATTTCGTGCACCAGGCCACTAGTATTAAATAAAACATGAATATCACTTTATAAAAACAGTGAGAAAGTAACTTTAGTCTACATAATTCAGTATATAAACAATTATATACAGAAATTATGGTGGGTAGTATTTTATTATAGAAAGAACATTTTATATTTACTCTACATTTTTATTTTTATTTAAACATTTAAATCCTAGTCAGAAAGTTATTCTACAAACTTACTAATATTCTTTTAAATTATTTTTTCAGCTTTACGGAGATATACCAGTAACTGACATTTAACATTGTGCAAGTCTAAGGTACACAACAGGTTGACTTAATATATTTATAAAACTGCAAAATGATTACCACCATCATATTCACTGCCACCTCCATCCCCTCCTAGTTGCCATTTCTATGTGGTAAGAACCTTTAAGATCTACTCTCTAGCAACAATCAAGTACATGATAAAGTACTAATAGCTATAAACACCATGCTGTACATCAGAGCCCCAAACTTGTTAATCTTATAACTGGAAGTCACACCCTTTGAGCAAAACCACCCCACTTCCCCCACCGCCCCACCCCCTGGTAACCACCACTCCAGTGTTGCTATGAGTTTGTTTTTTTCTGATTCCACATGTAAGTGTTATCAAACGTATTTCAAACTTCCCTTTAAACCTTTAAGTGACTTTAAATACATACTTGGTGACTATTAGGGTACTTAAAAGTTGTTGCTGCAATATGGTGTTATGTACATCTGCATATAACGCCCTGGAATATATACAGAACCTACCCTAGTGGTCAGGCTAGGAGATTTGGGGGTGGAGGAAACACAAGAGTGATGGCGGTGGTGGAGAGCTTTTCTCTACAATAGAAATGTATTGAGTGTAATAAAGAAATTAAGATCATTACTAAGAGTTTTCTAATTTATCAGTTCAAAGCAGTCAGAATCTTCTGATCAAATCTTAACTTGGTTTTAGCAGATCTCAACCTGACCATCTACACTTGGAGCTTTTTTTAAAGCACTGACATCGGATCCTAGCCCAGGAGATTACAATTCAGATCCTCAATAGTTCTGTGGGCAGCCGTTTCCTCTTTTGGCTATTAAGTATGCAGTATCGTAAGTGTTTGCCAGCTGTTGGACTATAAATAGTTACTTAGTTTTTATTTCTGTACTATTTTAGATAATTGTCAATTTCCTGTATGTAAGTCTAGCACTCTAACTAAAGAACAGAAGTTAAAGCTGAAAAACAACATGTAAATGTTTAAAAAGAGAAAAATGACCAAGTAAACGAAGGCTCATAACCCTACAGGACACTCAGAATCCTATGCATCAGTGGGGTCCTACAGGCACTGTAGTAACATAGGAAAGGTTGCATTCATTTGGAAGAAAGCAGAAAACAAAGCTTAGCTGTAAGGACTAAAAAACTCATGGGTAAAAAGAACAAAGACCTGAAGGAAACAAAAAAAATGATCAGTTAGAAATTAGGGCACTGGAATTATTGGGGCTTGTTTTTCCAATCTGGAAAATTATGTCATTTTCCCTAATTATGTCATAAATGTTGGGGAAGGATTCTAAAGATCATTTGGTCCAGTGTTCTCACTTTTATAAATGAGGCAGCCCAGAGAGTTGTTAGCAACCAATGATTAAGCGCCTGAGAACTGGAAATTCTCCATTTTACTTGGTCCTGAATGAACATGTATATCAAACTCAGGTTTTCAGGCGCTGACAGGGAATCATGCTCCAGTCAGGAATTCTGGCATAGCTAACGTGGAAACAAGGTAAGAGGGAGACAGCGGGATCAGAATGGGGTAACATAACGTAGCTCATTCACATACGCTGGGCCCTCTACCAGCACTTCTGCATGTATTATTGAGTATCATCCCTGTTTTAAAGATAAATAAGTGGATCAGAGAGGTTTAGTGATTTGATTTGTTCTAAGTCATAATCAGTAATTGGCAGAGATCATTTCCAAAGCCCTACCTCATTCTAGCATCCAAACTCATGTTGCACCGTCCCCCAAAACAAGACTGTCTGGGGGCTTATGGTCACATGGAGTTTTCAGACAAATCTTCTGATTGTCGAGTGGAGAACAGACTGCAGAGGGTTCAAGGCTTGAGACAAGGGGTCCACCAGGATGCTTGCTGAGAGAATCCAGGCAGGAAAGGAGAGCAGCCCGAACAATGGCAGTGAAGGTGGGCTCGACAGTAGGCAGGTTCAGAGCAACTAAGGAAGCAGCACTGATGGACTGGGCATGACCAGATGGAGGAATGGTGGAAAGAGAGGAATCAAGTTTGTCTCTCAGATGTCTGGCTTTTGAACCATTCATTTATTCACTCACATGAGCCAATGGGGGGAAAAAAGGGAAACATAATTTCTGCACTTAAAATGTTTATAATCTAGTGAGAGATGGGCGGGAGGGTGGATAATGAGTTCTGTGTTGGACGTGTTAGTTTTCAGATATTTGGAGAAGATCCTAGTGAAGAAGTCCAGAGGCCAACCTTAAATGAGATCTGGTTTCATCAATGAATGTCTTTCAATCAATCAGGCTAAAGAAATCAGAATTATTTTACACATTAGTCTTCAGTAACGTGAGGTAACTCGTGTATATAATATTTCAACCATTTAAGTCTGAAAGGGGAAAAAATAAATCAATTCAATGGAACATGAAGTACTTACTGCAGCAATATGCCAAAATAATTTGGACTGTGTTCACTACTCTCACTAGATGCCAAGTGTCCATGCTGAAAACTACCACTACGTTAAATCACAATCAACTATGACTGGCAGATTGGATCCATGTTGATATCCTGGTGGTGACACTGTATATAGTTTTATAAGACATTACTCAGCCTAAATAAAGGGCATATAGAATCTTCTGTGTATTATTTCTTACAAGTGCATGTGTATCTACAAAATAAAAAGTTTTATTAAAAATTGTTTAGATTTGTTTAAATCACAACTAAAGTACTTTGGTAAAACTGGGAAAACAAGAACCTCGCCCCAGGGTAACCCATCCTCCCCTCGCTTATCACTGGTCATGCGGTTTGGACTCCTGACCTTTTATATCATTGCTTAGGTGGCCTAGACTCCCTGACCTTTCCCTCCCTGAAGAGAACATCTAGGCCTCAGTTGTGTTTCAGCTCCAGGCCCAGAAAACCAGCAAAACCAGACAAGTGGCACCGTGGCTGCCTCAGGACCAGCTGCACTGACTAATGACCCCCTGCCCTGGCACCGACCACTCAGTGGAGACCTCTTCCACCTGAAAGAGCACACCTGGAAGCTGACGGATACCCTACTGAGACCCTCCCCTGAGATTTCCACCTGCAAGAAAGAAAGAAATAGATCAGGCCAAAGGACCCAGCATATCCCCCAATCTCTAAGGGACCCCACGAGACTTGCAACCAGGGGAGCAATGGGCCATGGGGCAGCTCGTCCCGGGCTAACCCCCTGAACCTGTCTCCAAGGCCCCCTTTTCTCTGACTTCTCATTGAGCCAAAGCAGCCCAGCCCAGGCTCTCCTGTTGCTTCTTCTATGCCCTTCCTTGCATCACTGTCCACCCAGCATATCCCCCAATCTCTAAGGGACCCCACGAGACTTGCAACCAGGGGAGCAATGGGCCATGGGGCAGCTCGTCCCGGGCTAACCCCCTGAACCTGTCTCCAAGGCCCCCTTTTCTCTGACGTCTCAGTGAGCCAAAGCAGCCCAGCCCAGGCTCTCCTGTTGCTTCTTCTATGCCCTTCCTTGGATCACTGTCCTAAGTACATTTTTGCTGCCATCATGGACCCAATAACCTTTGGCTCAGTGCTACATAACTCTTCCCTTTGGATATCCCCATCTCCCATCTCCTTTTCCTTAAATAAATGCAGTTTTTCTTTAATCGCCGTCTGAGATGGCTATTTAGCCTGCCCCTGCACCACCGACTTTAACCTTTCAGGAATTTCAACTACTAATTGTACACAAAATTTTTCATTCGTCCTTTCTAGAAATAAGTTCATTTTATTTTTCTACAAGAGTACTATACACTGAGTGGCCAGATTATGATGACCACCCCATCAGTACTTCGTTGGGCCACCTTTTGCCTTCAGTACTGCGGCGATTCTTCTTGGCATTGTCGTGTTAAACAACCTGCTTCCCTTTTTATTACTGTCTGGCCCTCTAGCAACTTCAGCGCGAAATTATAGCTAATTTGCCTACAAATGTCAGGTGGTCATAATAATCAGGCCACTCAGTGTATAAGCAACCTGAATCTCAATTTATAGAAACTATCAACTAAGTTATAATATCAACAAGATGAAAAACATGGTAATAGTCTATGGCCATACCACCTTGAATGCACCCAATCTCATCTGATCTCGGAAGCTAAGCAGGGTCAGGCCTGGTTAGTCCTTAGATGGGAAAAACATGGTAATATTCACCACCAAGAGGATTATAGTTTACTAGATTTACTGGGGTGATGACTTCATAAGTTATATAAATGTTTAATCACTATGTTGTATACCTGAAACTAATGTAATATTATATATCAACTGTAATTGAAATTAACAAAAAAAAACCCAACAACATAGTTAATCTCATGGTCCCTCTACAATACTGAATTACAGAAACAATCCCAATGTTCAGTTAAACTTATTACCCTTTGGTAAATTAAGTTAGATGCTAAACAAACGGCACAGACAACCATATCTCCATCTTTGTTCAATTATTCTGAAATGAGAAGTAAAATATAAGCATACAAATTAAATTTTCACCAATTCAATAGTCTGGAATCCAATAAGGTTTTGTGGATATAGTATACAACTTAAGTTATGACAACAAAATAAGCCCTCTGCCCTAAGCACGCCTGAATGAAACAGCTAAAACACACACGGGAAAGCCTGGCAGTTACCAACATTAGGAAAAATCAAGATGAAAATTAAGAGAAGCAATGATTGAGGTAGCTCAGCATTTGTTCATAGCTGATGACCAGCAGCTTTTCAACTAATACAGCTTTAAATGAATCCGATTCTGGACACACTTTTTCCATGTCAAAACCCTAATCCGCAACTACCAAAACTCATTCCCCATTCAATCAGCATTTGCTATTTACAGGGCCTGGCACTAGATGCTGGGTGAAGCATCAAGGTAGTATTGCCTTCAAGATTTATTCTGCGGTAAGGAAAGACAGATACATGGAAAAGGATAAAAGAAAAGAAACTACAATGTAAGGAA